CTTGGACGTGGCTGCACTCATGGTATGGCTTGGCCTTGTGGCAGCCCTGCTTGTAACACTGGTGATATCCCCTCTGGCTTTGAGGGCCAGATCCTTTGAAGCCGCACACCCCTTTGTTAAAGGCAAAGCAAATCGGCTTTCCTTCTGGCGTCTTGGCGACACACAACCAGGCGGGATGTCGATGCCAGACCATTGCTTGGATTTTGATTTACTTTTTCCTTCGCCTTTTCCTTTCCCTTTTCGGATTTTGGCAGGTTGGTCGAATGCGTCTGATGTGGCTCTTTTGTTAGGCCGGGGAGTACCTGCGGCTTTGGGGCTCGGATGCTTTGTGGGCATAGGCATCAGATAAGGCATTAGCTCTGGAGACGTCCTCAACATCTTGATCTCCTTGTCCAGCGGCGTCACGACCACACCGGGCTCGGCTTGAAGCTTGCCTACAAGATTATTGGATGCACGGATGAACATCTGCTTGTCGCATTCGATGATCTGCTGCAAAGTGACGGATGCGAAACCAGAAGGCTGTGACCTCTCATGCGACAGGAAGAGATGTTGGACCCACATTTCAATCTCTCTGGGTGACCACAGTTTGGCCTGGTCCATGGCCAGGGATCTCCATTGAAACGCATTCCTTATATCTAATTCGGATCCCACTGAGCATGTGGTTGATGCGGCCTTGGAGGTGATCTTGATGCTCCTACTGGCGTCCAACGACACTTTTGCGTCCTTCTTCAGGCTTTGGATTTCCTGGGATCGTGATGTACATTCTTCCGGCTTGATGCACGTCAAAACATTTTGTTCCAACATGTTGACACACAAATCTACTGGTGCGTGGCTAGGCGTGACTTCTGGAGAGAAAATAATACCTTCTAGCCTAGTCGCTTGCTCTGCCTGTCTGGTCTGCCTTTCGGCGATACAGAGCTTTCGGCTGATAAGTTGTGGATCGGACGGCTCGTCAACTTTCCTCTGGAGGTCGTTGAGCGCAAGGGCATGTGATTCTACTACCATCTGCGGATACAAGACGTCTCGAAAGGGGCCAAGTCTCTAACCGTGACCTTGCTCAACCAAGCATCCAACACCGTGTCGGTTATTTGCTGCGGGGTGGTCGGCACTGCGAATGCTGGGGCTCCGAAGGTGTCAAACCCTTTGGACTGCAGCTCTGACTTGAGCTCATCCTCAACCCCCAGCTGCTTCAACCGTTCAGCAAAGGCCGCCTTACTGTCCAAAGCCGACATGACGAACAAAGGAGAGTGAAAAAACTAAAATTTTGAAATGCTGCTGGATATTTATCCCAGGTTGACCAACACTTCGGTTTTGATGTGATTAAGAATGACACTCTGCTGTGTGTTGTATCCCTTACAGCTAATGGTCCTGGCTCCACAAACTCTCCTTGGCTGGGGCCAGAAAAATGTGGTGTTCCTGCTGTGTAGGGCTTTGCTTTACATCAAGGGCTTTGGCTCAGGCTACCATAAGTTGCAACATGAGGCCCACTACTAACATTGGCCCAGCACAGCACAAGCAAAGCTGCTAGCATTTGCCCAGCACAGGTGCAAGCAAAGCTGCTAGCATTGGCCCAGCACAGGTGCAAGCAAAGCTACTAGCATTGTCTCAGCATTGGCACAGTGCACTACCTCCAATGTCAAAATCCTTGATGCAAAGCAAGGCCCTGCACAGCTTTGCCAGCAATCATGCTGGGCCAACGCTAGCAGTTTTGTTTCGACGTGAGCCAGCTTTTTGTAGGAACATATTGATATTTATCTCACAGTTAAAATGCGACAGGAACCAAAAGGATATATAGTAGATGTCAAAAAATGTAGATGAACACAAACATAAAAATAACATAAGTAAATAAATAAATATATATATATATATATATATACATGAACAGAAATTATATATATACACATGATAAGGCATTAACCAATACATTTATATATATATATGTATATGTAAATATATTTAGATGTAAATATATGTATATGTATATGTATATATATGTATATATATATGTTTATGTAGATTCCGACCCTTCCAATCCAGGATTGGTTGTGCATGGTTGGGGCCAATGAAAGGGGTTGTTCCACCAGGAATTCGCAGTATTTCAAACCAAGGTGTAAATGCAAATCACTTCATAAAATCCTAGGGGTGATCTCTAGATGTTACGTGAAGATGTTTAAAACAGGCAATTGGACATTGAGTATGTAATTTAAAGATAGTTTTGTGACATCAAATTTCCATTGGGTCCAAAAAAAAGTTGTCCAAATCAAACTGAACATGGGTGACCTGGCATAGAGTTGGGTGAATATCCATGTATAATTTATTTTGTGCAAACCCATTTGCTTATGCACTGGTGCGTTTCTGTTTCAAGATATTTATTGGTTTCAGTTTCACACATGATATATATATATATATATATACATACATATATATATACATATATATATACATATATATACATATATATATACGTATATATATACATACATAAACATATATGTATATATATATATACATATAGGATGATAGGTGGATGATGGGTGGACCCAACGCTTGTTGTTCAGCAAACCATTTTTTTTCTGACTCCTGGTTTTCCTGTTCCCTGGTTTGTGTCTCGCGCAGAGGGCATTCTTGGGATCAGCTGCAGTCAACATATGTTTGGAAAACAATTTTTCATGTTGAAATATTTCATCTTAAGACGTCAGATTTCAACCAATGCTTGATCCAATGCCAGAAGAATCCGCAGTGAAATTGGTTCCCGAAGGTTCTCAGTGAAATTGGTTCCAGAAGGTTCTCAATGAAATTGGTTCTGGAAGGCGGCTCTCAGGAATTCTACGCCTGTCAGCCGTTGGGGAAAACCACACGGGTGAGAATCAGAATGATCGAAAGTCATCTAAGATGATCAAAAGGTACAGTAAGATGGTTGTCACCAAAGCCAACCAACCATGAATTTCAGTTTGGCACTAGTAATGGACAGCAAACAGCAATGAAGAGACTTGAGACCAATGGGCGCAATGTCAAGACATGTAATACCTCATTTAATAAACAGTTTGAGTTGAAACATGGACTGATAAAGAAAAATCTATGAAGATATCAAAGTCATGGTTTCGCAACTTTTGAGAGCCTCGGGGTCATCCACACGCTCTTCCTCTTCGCCTCCTTCTTCTTCAAGGTCCAAGTGGGCGATCACATCATCATCAGCAGCAAGCTCTGTTGGGGCATTCTTGTAGGACTCAATCATGGCATCCTAAGTTGGTCATATCAAAACAGTTGAAGTGTTGATTGGACTTGGCAGCGTAATGCCTCCAAAACGATGTTATGTTTTCTTTTCGAAGAAAACGCGTATACATGAACATAGACTACCCTGCACATCCACGGCCATCAAAGTCCGAGTTGCGGCTAAATCACGGCCTTTAGCAGCATCACCATTGCATCGCAGAAGCTCAGCTTTGACAGCCTCCTGTCATCCAAAAGTAGTTTGATGCGGTTTCATTTGAACTAATGACTAAAAAATAACTCAATGTAGGTCAAGCATACATCAACGATCGATCAATGATAGAGCAACGCAAGATGTATGACAAATAAATGTAAAGATAAGTGACAGGCTCATGATAGATCAAGTTGAGCCAAGCTGCAGCAATGGTTTCCATGACTTCGTCGGACAAGCCCTCCACAGGTTTGACCTGGGGAGAACAGGGGTGATCATTGTCATTATCATCAACATCATCAATGTCTATTTTACATGATCATTATCATCACCATCGTCAACATCATCATTGTAATTTACAATAATCATCATCACCACCACCATCATCATCATACGTTGGCATCAGTCGAACGATTTGGTTTCATGATGTTTCATGCGAACTGAGTAAATGACGCCCATGACTTCTTTGCCGTTGACCTTGAATCCCCACTTCCCGTCTTTGTACTTGTACTTGTACACTTTCAACGCTTTCTCCTCTGCGGTGCCCTTGGCTGCTGGACGCTTCAAAACCTTGGTGGTATTCGTAGCTGGTTTTTTCTTTGGGATCATATCTTGTTCCTCCTCTTCACTCTGATCCTCTTTTGTCTCCTGCTCAGGGGCCTTTCGTTTGGCGGTTGCCTTCTCTTTTGCTTTCGGTTTTGTGCTAGATCCAGCTTTGGGAGTTGATTTCGGTTTTGCTTGTCCTTTAGGCTTTGCCTTAGGCTTAGGCTTGATGTTCAAAGTGTTTTTGCTAGTTTGGATGCAAAGCCAAAGTGAATCGATGAGTGATTTCACAATATTTCACAAAGATCTGCAAAAATCCACTGAATGATTTCCACGCTGTGCCCCAGCCGCGTGTGATCCAAGATTCAAATCCAACCAAGTTTTGTCTTGGTTTCAAGACCTCAAAATTGAAAATGCTAGTGCCTGCTCTCTTCATCCATCTTCGCTGGTGGTTTGTGATTTCGAAATCAAATCGAATAAATTGATGAGTCGAAGGCCAATGTATTGTTTTGGAAATTCATGGAATGGTTATTGTAGAAGTGGAAACCACCTTCAGCAAAGCCTACGCAGCAGCACTGACAAAATCCATGGTCCTCTCACTTCAACTTCAGGGCAGTAGAAGGTTCCACAGCAACCTGCCCTAGTAGGTGAAACTTGGGTTTCAAGGGTGTCACCTCGCATGGTACACCCTCAGAGATCTTCACCTGGCAGGCGAGGCGGGAATGACCAGACCTATGGCGCCTTGGGGCTTCTTTGTCTTTAGACTCTTGGCTCTGGAAACCAGGGGCATTCCGCACTGGGAGGCTAGGGTGCGCGCAGATTATCATGTAGTAAGTGCATGTGTGGTCACTATATGTCACTATTTGTCAGTGAGTTGCACATACATTGATCATAGAGAGATATGTGTATATGAAACATTTATATGTAAATCTGTGTGTAAATATGCAATATATATCAATATATGATACATATGTTACATACGAATATTTCTACTTACAGAGATTTACATAGTACACACAAACAAGAAAACATACAACTAAAGAAATAGAAACGTAGAGATAAAGGAGAAATTTTGGCAGCCCCAAGCCTCCCAAGTGACACTGCAGTGAGGAGTATTGGGTAGTTGTCCATATTTTCCGGACCACAGGGCCCCAAACACTGCCCCACGAAGGTTCGACTTGTCAGCGGCAGTCAGGTCTTTGGGCCGGAAACAATTGATCTTTGAATCCGGGACCACCTTGTAACGGAAGCACATTGGGATCTGACTTCCGTCTGGTGCCACCTGAAGGGATGATCATTGAAAAAGTCAACCAAAGGGTGGACTTGAAATCTGGGTTCATGACTGGTTGGGTTGGCCTACTTTGACCATCATCATGATGAGATGAAAATGAAATGATTATTTTGGCAACCCTGGCTTTCATCTTGGGGTTCAGAGAATGGTCTACCATTCTGATCTCGGTGATTCCTCGAAGTCGCGTCACATCGCACATTGCTTCTGCAACGGTGGTCAATTTTTTCTCTCCAGTGGAAACCAAGCAAACCACAGTGCGGTCGTCAGTGACAAGCCATGGTAGAAGTCCAGATTGTCCACCGACAGTGTCTCACAGGGTTTTGGACGGTTGGCGGCATGTTTAAAGCCATCCACCCAAATTTCAATAATTGAACATAGCAATGGAACTTTGATGGTTGAAACCCAGAGCCTGACTGAACTTCGATGAAGGTTCCAGTATTGAAACCAAAGAGTTCACCAGCAGCAAGGTCGATTCGGTTGGTGGTGCGGTTCACGATCCATAGCGATCCAGCACTAGTCAACACCAGCTCAAGATTGGGTTCTCGAGCAAGTGGTGCACAGGCTTCTGACCTAAGTCAAGAACTATAGTTCCGAGATACAAAATACAGGGTCTTTCCAAGAAATCCCAGAGACTGTAGTCATAAATGGAAGCAAGTGGAACTCGAAATCAAATTTGTGGTTGGAAAAACAATAGTTCCAAAACATCCAAAAATAAGAAATTGATCATTTAATCATATAGCCATGGTGCGTGTTGCCAGAATCAAAATCGGCCACCGAAATCCCAGTAAGGTTCAAAGTCTTGCGCCAGTTCACAGGCTCATCAGAACCCCACTCAGGGCCTGCCATTGTACGCGATTGCCCCACGCCATTCGCACCCGAGGAAGATGATGGTGGAGCTGAAGCCATCCTCAAGGCCTTGTGCACGGCAGTCTCGTGGGTGATCTTCTCGGTGATCTTCTGGAGATGATCTTTGTGGGTGGCTGTAAACTTCTGGGTGATCAAATCGGGCATCCTGAGATGGGTTTGACTGAGTTGGAATCACCACCAAAACCCAAAACCCTACGGAGGTACTGAATCAAATTACAAACTGTTGTTTGACATTGTTTGACATCCATGATGACCAAATTTGGGGGAGCTTATAACTTTGTTTGTTGGGCACAGCCAAAGAGGCTTCACTTCATTCTCTGAGATTGTAAGGCATTCCATGGCAGGAACATCGATGGAAAAGGGCTCACACGCTCGTGCTGGTGGACCAGACTCATCTACCTTGTCCCACCATTGACTCATGGCCCGCCCCGTGACAAGTTCCCTGTTTGACTCCATGTGATGCCCTTCATCGTCATGATAGATGGCCATGAAGTGGAAATCCCACTTGTTGCCATCAGGCTCGTTCAGAAGAGCATCGCGTTGGAGCTCCCAGCATGCCTGCGACCATTCACTGAACCTGGTGCCAGGGGATCAAGTAGGCCATACAGTTTGAATTTGAACCAGGAAGCATTGAACACCACAATAAAAGTAGATGGGTTTGATTGAACAACAGACCTTGAAGGGACCATGTCCACCACCAAGACCTTTTGACGGTCCGACTCATGCATCCCATCCAGAAGCTTCAAGAGGATGTCACGAGTGGCTTTGATGCCCCGCTGCTGAACCTCACCCAGGGTAAAAAAAGATAACAGTGATTTATGTGTGGACCGTAAAGGAAATTCGATCTTTTTTCGTTCAATAATGGTGTTAAATGGTGTTAATATGTATTAATCTTCGGACCAAGAACAAAATCACCAAAATCATATTGTAAAATAATCCCAGGAACCCGCCAATGCGGAGCAAGGGCTTTGTCAGGGTCGGGGTTCTACAGGTCCTGCACTCGGCTGCGTTCAATGCCAGTGATGGTCCCCAACAATGAGCGACTCTTGGCCCAAGGTGTGCTGGTGTGATTTGCTGAAACTCCAGCCAAGCCTGTTGGGATGATTGGTACCACAGAAAGCCACAATCATCACTAAATCCATGGGCTAACAATGTTGGGTTCGGATTCCCAAATAAAAACAAAAGTTGATGAATCTGATTCATTTACAAGAAACATTGCTGACTTTGTTTTCTTTTGTCGCCCTGGTGAACTGCATCACTGTAGTTCAAGCTCAGCTCGTAGCTGTCGAGTGTCCTTGGCAAAAGGGAATGTATGTTGCAAAAATTTGCAAACCAAAATATGAAACTCATTTATGTTGGTATGGTTACTCAACCAAACACCTCATGTGTTAGTATGGTTGATCAACCAAACAAAACATGAAATCGTTCATGTTAACTTCAATGGCAAGAAGCCCAAGCACTTTGTCTTCAACAAGACGACGATTTTTCAGGGTATTGTTCCGACCCATCCCAGAGTGCCACTGTGGTAGCATCCAAAAGCTCAGGGTGTTCACATTGCCTGAAGCAAGGCCCTGGGCAAGCGTGATCGACTCATCGATTGCCAAAGGTCCTCAGCCATTTTGATTAATGAGGTCTGTAAACATAAAATGGAAATCATTCCGATTACTTTTCAACATCTTGAGGTATGCTGATCGGAAGCTATAATCTAAGGTTGATGAGCATGTACAAAAAGTAAGCTGAGGGACTTGATGGCCAAAGGGTGAAATCACCCAACAAGATCGTCAGCCTCAGTTACTGCTGGGTTGAAATTAAAAGCCATAGAGGCTGTCAAAGTTTCGTGACAAAGGTATGGGGAAACTAAATTGCCAGGAAACCCATCCTTTCCCAGCTCCGCCTGTTGTTGGACGATCGGTGCATGGGCCAAAACCAAGGAAGAGCAGCGCATGAACGTGTGCTTCTTGCTCAGCAAGGTGTCGATGGCGGCGCGGCCGCGGATGTAGCGATCGTTGATGTACTTGTAGTCCAAGCTGCCCTAACGGAAGAAGGGAATTCAAAGCCCATTCATGATCTCAACATATTCATGGAAACTTGGGAAAAATATGTTTTGTAAAACCCAACAGAAATTAAAACGACAGGCCTGTTTGTTCACATAGAGCTCAAACTTCTGGGACCATTCGCGAAGCTGTGAGAGGTCAGTCTCAATCTGCAATTCGGTCTGTTGCCAAGTCGTGTGAAGCAGTTGAGCAGATAACCTGGATCAAAGAAAACATGAATTTAAACGGTTTAGCTAATGGAAAACTGAGTCATGACGAGGAGCTGCTCAGCTCGCGTGTGATTCTGGGTCTCCACCTGTACGGGGAATATTTTTTTGTTGGGTGCGTTGATGTAAAATGGACATGGGAATCATACAGCATAGAATCATGGGACATGGAAACATGGAATCATGGGTATGGACCCCCATCACACCAACCTCCTTGGTGTACTTCGACAATGGCCCAGCAAAGATTGACACCTTCGTGATGTCCGCGGGACGGTCGTCTCAAGCAGGAGAAGGATGTCAGCATCACCATGGCGAAGTTCAAACCTGGAGGCGGCGGCAGATGGGGTGTCACGATCAATAGGTTGTCAGGACCAATTATATTAATATGATATTTCAAAAAAAACGCGAAATCAAGTTATGATTAGAAGGATGTATGTTGTTTGCATTGGTTGAAGTTGCAAATCTTTAAGACCAGGAACGACCTATGGATCTCAGAGAGACAGGAATTGGCAAACTTCTCGGGGACCGATGAATGAAACTGCTCCAAGCATGCGAGGAAGCCACCACATACACGTTGGAGCTGGGTCTTAGCAAGCTCAACATCAACAAGTCAAAGCCTTTGGTATGCATGGTGGTAGATTTCAACACTATTCGGTTTCCAAAACAAGAAACATTATATAGATTCAAACATACCCAAACATAGGTTTGATGCGGTATACAGCTGAGGTTCCAGGTCCTTCACATTCCAGGGTTTCCGTTGCTTGGGCGACATCGCCACCCAATCGATTTCCATCCTGGCGATCAAAAGGTTCAGAAGTCCCTGGCTGTTGGACAAATAGGATCTCCACGGCAACAGGAACCCAGATGCACTGCAGTAGCCATGGTTTAGAAGACCTTCTGCCAAACCATCGTGATTGACAAACTTGGGCTGAGTATGAATCCTCGGACATGCGACCAGCGGTTGATGATGTTAAGATATAAAAGTATATGAAAGTAACCATGGGGGACCCATTGCAAAAGGAATAGTTGCCAAGATGCGTCCCAATCAATTCAAAACCAAGAATCCGAACAAGTTCGGTCAAGGAGTCCTTGATACTTGGGGGGATGTGTCGTAGAAGGTTCACTGCTGCATTTGACTCCTTCTCCCCCAAAGCATAGGCTTGAGCAAACTGGGATACGCTTTCATGTGCCTGACCCAATGGGCGTGACAAAATTCTCACTATCAAAGAAATGTATGAAATGTATGAAAATCATGGTGATCAAAAATACATGAAGACCACACTGTGGCCACACCCTCACACGCCTGTAGTGACATGACCGAGAGTGTCCTGGACACGCCGCTTCTCTCCAGGAATTCAAGCTGGTGAAGAAGATTGAAGGCGTTTGGGCGGCGCCGCAACTGCCCCCCCAGGGAGACTCCTGAACGGGTTGAATAACAAAACTTCCCAAAGTTGATGATGATGATGGTTTGAGATGCTAAACTAAACAGTGATAAAGCAATTCATGGATGGCCTCTGTTCGTGTTGACAATGAGGTTGCTGTCAGACTCAACTGCAGTGGCATGGATAACGCTGAAAGACCTACCGAACATGGGGATGCAACAGGTGGCACTAGACAGATCATTGGGGAAAAACTGCAAACCCGGAAAACACTTGCAGCATCTATATAGACATGTAAGCGCATATCCTTAGCAACTTGTCATGGGAAAACTGGTACAAGATAAATGAACTAGCGTTATAATATGTTATTCTATGTTATTCTCATTTCATTGTTCCATCCAAACGTTTCAGCACGTTTCAACGTGCCTCCGGACATCGTCTGGCAACTCCTGCAGTCAAAACAATATAAAACGATGTCAGGGGGGGAAACATGGAAAAAAGGCGAACAAGCTGGAACGAGTTTGAATTTCACATACCCCCTCCTTCAGAAGCTCTGGGGAATCATAGCAGGCGTAAAGGATACTCAAGGCACAAAGTGATCGGTTCCAACCTTTGACCAAAAATAACTGACCTGGCCCTGCCACATTCAAGGTGGTCACGTCAGCTGCTTTTGTAGTGGTGGGCTTTTTGTGAAGCCATGCATTTTTCACGAGGCACCCAACCATCTTCTCGGTGCCCGGCTTGTTTGGGTCAGTCTGCAGACCGTTCAACAGCTGCAGCTGACAAAGGGCATGCTGGACCTCCTTAGTTTACCCAACCAATTTTTGAATAGTTTGCAAACAGTCAGGCCCAAGAAACAGTTACAATCAGACCAAACTGACATGTTAAATCAAAGTGTCTGCATCACTGGTTCCCCGCAAACCATAATCCGATCTGTGTGGAAGATGGTATGGCCGGAGAAGCAAAGACGATCCAGCCTGACCGATGTCCGCATCAGTGCTGTATTGCCTGAGCATTCAGGGATGACAGTGTTGGAATGAGATGTGGGTGGCACTTAAGACTCGGACACTGAGGGATCTGGAGGGAACTCTGCTTCGATGAACTCATAGAACTTTTTTTCGGCGTCCTTTCGAGGTCAAGATGGTACCCAATTAAAACATACATTGGCAGGGATAAACACGGCTCCTCAAACATAAGGGCTTCCGACAGGAACAGGTCGATGGTCAGGTTCTTCTGAGTCAAGTTCTCGCGCCTAAGTTAGTCATTTGGGGTTTGGTGATGGACACTGTTCCAATGGTATGATTTCAAATTATTTAATACTGTTGAATATCCTCAAGAAAATGCTGATAAGGTACGCCCATGTATCATACAGCTTGATGTGCGGCAACTTCATGGCATCAGCTGGTATGGTCATGACACCAGATCCCTTTTTGGCCGCTTTGGCCTTCACAGCCCCTGCAGCTTTTCCCGATGCAGGCTCCGACTTCCGCTTCCCCATCACCTGGCAGGCACTGGGAATGATGACTGGAACATTGGTTTTGTGCATTGATGATTATGCACAAACTGGAACTCCCAAAAGCTCACCTGTTTTGTGCATAATCACGACCCGATCATGCACAAAAACCCTGAGAATCCAATGATGGGCTGAATTTCTGGGGTGGACGACAACAAGAATTGATATGAGTGAGGTTTCCAATGGGGTTTTGTGACGAATCCCGACCCGATCATGCACAAACAGCTGGGTCGGCAGAGGTACCCAAACTGTGCATAACTGGCCATGCACAAAATAACATTTTCACCACTGTCGTGAAGCTCAAAGATTCCAAAAGATCCCTAAAGGGAACTGGACTGGCATCGCATGGGCTCAAGACCATCGAAGACCTTGATCATAATGTGTCTTAAACACTTTGGATCTATGACCAATCACAAAACATATAACAAAATGGTATAAACATACTGAACATACTCGAAGTGACATAGGTGGTTGTGAGATCGATGGATAAGAACATGTAAGAACTGATGTGATGTTCATCTTGGGCCCAAAAGCTGTTGACCTCCCCTGCAAAGCTAGTGATGACCAGCTTCTCTGACAGCTTCACTAACGATTCGGATGGCTTCAGAGATTTCCAAGCCCTGCATCCACAATTTGGATGCTGCTTTATACAGCGCTTGTTGACTACGACCTCTCAAGTATCTGTTTTCCTCATCAGCGGAGGGTCTCTCCCTTCGAAGTTGCAATTGGTTTGGCACCTTAATTGGGAATGAAAATTGGCGCCACAAATGGTTTGAAAGTATCACGCATAGCCATGATGCATAACAAGCATTCATGTGAAACCATGTTTTGAACACATTTGAAATAAGTGACAGCTTCCAAATCACGCCCTTGAACCACGGGCCAGGCAGATCTTCCAACGGCCCCTCCAAGCTGTGGCAAGGCCCTCAGGGGGAAGCCACTGGCTTTGAGAATCAAGTGTTGACCAAAGAACTTAAAACAAACTGGGTTAACTAGCTTCTGACATATTTTTTGCAACCCCCACCAGCTCACATCGAGAAAAGTTTGATCCACGAATCCGTAGGACAAGTCCTCCAATTGCTGCGCAGCAGCGTGCATATCAAATGGGTCATCACCTCATGGAATGAATCACAGGCAATTGGGATATCGAAGGTTCATAACTGCATGGTCATTGCGAAAAAATCTGTAGGTCACTGCAGGTTGTTTCAATATTGGATGAGATGCGTACATGGAAAAACATGCATTCATTTGGAGTTTTATGCTATGATATATGTGTGCAATGATAAGTGTTCATGATGAAACATCTCAGGCATGGACGCATCAGCCGTGCAAATTTCCGGATGGCTTTGTTTTCATCCGACTCAGGATTCACTGGCCTCTCGGTGAAACCTGCGGCGCAGCATTGGTGTGGGGAAGCGGGGTGCCCAGCCTGTGCACAAAAGGGATTACGATCTCGATCAGTATCAAAATTATCAAAGTAGAAGTTGCAATGTTTCGCATGTAAAAGAATGAATAGGCACATCTTATGTAATAGTTTAGTAAAGGGTGACTCGTTTTGACAATCATAATGACTTTGACCCGGTGGTGCATGGCCTGGCGGACAATCTCCTTGAGCCCTTGCAGCCACAGAGGCTGGCAAGAAAAGGAAAGTGGTCGGCTGCCAAGTTCCGTCACTCATCCATTGTTTGGTCCTGGCATAATAGGCACGGAAGGAACTTATGGGATGTTCATTTGAAAAGAAAGAATTCGGATACACTAAAACCAATGGGTCCTCATGATGACATCGGAGGAACTTGGTATGTACTCTCGTCGATCCCAAAATGATGAGTCAATTGAGTCTCGCTGGAGTCCTGGCAGGGTGCTAATGGACATCATGTAACACAAACCAAATCAGCATCACGTTTCATGGGCAAATGAAAACAATTAAATAGAACTGTCCTGTGGAACCGATGCGTTCCAAACGGATGGAATGCGGAGCCCCCGGCCCACCAATACCTGTGAGTCGAGCATGTTCGAAATGATGGGAAAGCCAATTTGTCCTGAGCTGGTTGAGGATGGGAATGAACATGCCATGGAAAACCGTGGAAAACACTGCAGGTTGTGTGGGTCAAACATGGTCCAACCAAAAAAAGATTTATAGTTTACTTACATCAAATGAAAAGTATCCAATCTTTGTACCGGGTCATGAGCTCAACCGATCTCATAGGTTCGTATGGCCGATTTTGGGGATCATTGAAGAATCCTTGCAAACATTCTTTGAAGGCCGATGGTGTCCACAACTCATGATGTTGTTCGATGTGACAACGTAGCAAGGCAAATAGGGCGTCGATGTCTTCGTGGGAGTGTCCGCTAGCCAAAAAATTGACTTCAGCACCTGCTATTTTGTGTAAAGCAGTCCACATTGCCAAAAGGCGAAGGGTACCCACATTTTTGACCTCCTTGCTACAATTATCAGCTTGAAGGTTCAACCATACCAGTCTGAAGTCCACGGTATCCGCCAACTTGCTGAGGCCATGACAGATGATCTCTGCTGTGCGGCTGCTGCCGGTGGTCAAGAGGCTGGGGGAAAGGGCCACCAAAACCAGATGTCCGTGCACCAACAAGGTGGTGGACGTTAACCGCGGACGGTTAAAGTTTGAAAACTCTTTGGATGACATACACCGACTTCTGGGCCATGCATGTTTTTGAGCATCCATGGAGTCCAATATGGCAGTGATTTCACACTCACCCAAAGTAGTGGCCCCCAACCGAGATCGAGCCCTAGCAGCATAGTACACTTGGCGGTCTTTGTGCTGCCTGTCAAGGTGCTTCTGCAACATAGCATGTTGAGCTCTCCTGGCTGGAGGGCAATGCCCCAGCTTCTTTATGATCAAACGATGCTTGATACACAAAGAGCACTTGGAATGATGAGTGTAGAACCGGATCCGCAATAAGTGCTCGAAGTCGGATTGCCAAACCTCGAATGACGAAACCCATGAACCCTTAACCCGAATGAACGAATGAAGCCAAGGTCCAAAGTTTTTACCACGTTTTACCAAATCAAAAAAGCAATGTTGACTTAACTTTTATCGAGGGTCTGAGCAAAACAGTTTTCGACCGATCTTGTGGCCAGGGTTTGCAGCCACACACTGACGATAGTAGTCACTGATTGTTCCATAAGGCAAATGCTTCATCTTGCTACGGTCCAAATGTGGACTGTCCCTTTTCTTGGACCCTTGTCGTGGACGTTTGTTTGAATTCAACCCATCTGGAATTGGTTCTGCAGCTTCCATGTAGAGCTGGGTTAAAAACATATGAACTCGGTCCCAGGTGTCGCTGGGCGTTTGTTTTCCTTTGACCACAAAGCGACCATCGTATGGGCAATGCTCTTGCCCTTTTTGTGCTGCCACATGCATCTTTCGAAATCTGTTTCGAACAATCCCCATCAACCTCATAAACCCTCTGTTGCACAACGGGTTTCCAAGAAATCGGATGTGCCTCGAACCAGGGCATGGTGAGCTGTCTTGCATTTGCAAGAGCTTGAAGACCTTAGTTGGTAGCTACATGATTAGGTGGCTCCATCATACATGAGTAATCGATTCTGAAACTCAAGGTTTTGATGAGTTTGCTTGATTGCATTGGCTGGGACACCCTGACGTACTGATCTTTCTCCAGCTTTGTCATGCCCCCAAGCTGTTTCCGAAGTTTCAGCCATTCTTGGATTTGATGTTCGCGATATGCTGAGAAACACAAAGCTTTGCACCCACAGCTCCCTCTGATGAGATTTGCTAGATGCTTAGGACTGTCATGTCGTCCAAAATGAACCTTTGCAAAAGAGCCCTTTCGGCGACCCCTGGCAGGTGCCCTTGGACGAGGAGAACGAATCTTCGGCTGGGGCCCCGGATTGTCATTCGTGTTCTCTTCATCGCTCAAACTATCAACCGGACGAAGAGAAGACTGCATCCTGACATACCATTGACATTGAATTTCATCTCCAGTCAATTTTGAACATTCGCAAAGAAACTTTGGAGTTTGAGACAAATGCATCATCATGAACTTTAAATATCAATACGGACTTAGATATATATTTTAGATCTTCAAGACTATCAGCATGTGAAGCATTTACCTTTGATACACATAGAGATATGTGCAAAGATGTGCAAAGTATGGCAAAGTACGGGCAAAGCATGGGCAAAGTCAAAGGGGAGGAAGGTTCTCAAAAAAACGATCTAGGAGGCACGGTGCCCCTTCCTCAACTCAGGCACCTTCTTGGAGACCAGGAAGCTGCAATCTCAGATGTCCTGCGACGGTTGGAAGTTGGCGATATTGGTTCCTAACAAACAGTGAAATAGTTTAGTTTCTTGGCTGTCCTAGAAAGGAATTCTCGAGAAAATCGCAATGCAACCCATGGCTGCGCAGCAAAGGATTAGGGATTGCAACTTGTTGACATTGCGTTTCTATACAACATCATCTGACATATCATTGATATATTACCTTTTGGATTGGGAGCTATTACCATGGATTGGAAATTATAGGGTGCTATCACCATTCTTGGACTGGGAGCAGTCACTGTTCTTTTGTTGTTGGAATTGATGCCATATTTCAAGGATATCCTCTCAAACCAACCTGACGTTTGGCAGCGGCACCAATGGAAAAACATACAGAACAAAGATTCAGTTTCAGAAAGAATCGAAACTGATGAACAGCTTTTGCGAAGCACTGTCAAAAACAGGTCGGCACCACCCACACTGCTGGCAGCAATGGGAAGAGGCCAATGAAAAACCGAAATGCTGAGTGACATGTGTATTCAATATTATTCAATCATCAAGTCACCAATGCATCTCAAACATTCTCAAACTCACAAACTGAAATTGCTGTTTGGAAGCGTTCAGAAGTTCACTCGATTGCCATTTTCCCTTTGAATTGGCACTGCGCTCGATTTGTGGCACGGGTGGGGGTCATCTAGCCCACATAGTCATGAGACTGCACATGCCTAGGTATGCCATGGCTGGCACAACTATGTTTCCACATGCAACAAGTCTATCCTTGTGATCATCGCATCGCTCGTTCGTGAGCCATTTGTGGATAGGTGGCACTTTTTGGCCACTCATCCATTTCCTTTGAGGCCACGCCTTCAAGTCCTGGATGTCCATGACGCTGTGGCCCTGGCCGGTCTTGCTGGGCTCAGGTTCTCAAAGTTCGTAAGTTACGTACATAAACTTGTACACAATCTTTTACACGCAAATCTACATTATATATACATATATATATATACATATATACACATATATACATACATATATACACATATACATATATATATATATACATGTATATATATATTCAGATATAATATACATCTATATATATATTTAGATATATGTAAAACATATATGTATATATATATAGTTATATATATATATATACATATATATACATATATATACATATATATACATATATTGGTATAGATATAAGGACCATTAAGGACCCAAATATGAAGGAATGAAACTTCTTTGGCATAAGCTGGATGGGGCCTGGAAGAAAGGGAGCATTGGATTGGCAATGAGGATGAAGACACGTTGTCTCCAAATCTGAGTTCAGGTTTAAGATCAAATTCAAATTTTGATTACGATAAAATACGATAAACAACTAGCAGGTTAGAAGGAGAGCTGCTTAAAAGCGATTGAAAGCTCTGTTGTTTTGCATTTTTTTGTTGCTTGCAGATTTCACTTACTGAGTTTTCGACTGGCGCACCAACCATGTGCCCATCAATGGACACGTATGTCATCCTGAGGTTCCGCTGCGATGAAGCCTGGCAGGCGAGAACGGTGGCGAGGGCTGTTGGGTTGGATGGGCAGTGGGCCTCGTGAAGGTATTGCATCACTTCTCTGCACTTTGGTGACAGTATGGCAGCTACGTTTTCCAGCAGCAAGAACTTCCTTAGTTTCATGATAAACCGAGCGACAAGTTGTATGATCTCTAGAAATAGTTAAACAAAATCACAATAACTCAGATTGGATGACATATATAACATGTAAATGTTCAATTTATTTTCAAGATTCACCGGCCGACCCAGGCCAACAGATTCGTCATATAGCCGAAAGATCTCCTTCACCAGTACGGTTCTGCTGCCACCCAGAACAGCTTGGTTTCCAGCATTGCTCACATCCTGCCATCAATGGTTGCCATTAAAATTCCAAACTGGGGTCGGGAAATAGTGGTGCAAGAAGTGATTAAGAAGTAATCGTGGCAACCCGGCCTGACATGGAAAGCCAGCTACATATCCGTCGATATCAGGACCAAGATTTGCTGCCGTGGTTTTCACGATATCTTCCAGTATAACCCCTGGGTCAGCCAGCCCATCTCGGATTCGAGCAGCGATCACAGCTCTGCAATGAGCAGATTGTTCGACCTAGGCAGACTTGAATTTGGTGATTGTTATGTTGCTGTAGCCTGTCTACATCTAAATATGTCAGGGGCACATGTTTTGTGATGTATCCAATATGATCCAATCAAATTTTCTTGAGCTCCCCACGTAGGACACAACTGTCACAAACCTGAGCGAATCGACCCACAAATCTTGGTAATCATTTGACATGGGATGACTTTCATTTAAGTCTTGGACGGCCGGATCCCCAGCTCAAATCCCAATACTCCCGAGAAGAGGGATGCCACCCGATGAGTGCGCTCCTCACAACCATCTAAAGCTAATGTTCCAGCGCATCTAACCATCATAGACTTGTTCATCAAACAATTAAGGCATCACTTCTAATTACCAAAGTTGGGACCTAATGAACACAATTATGAAATAAAGATGTTGAATTTTACATACTTTTTGAAGTAATAATAAGTTTGTTGTCATGACTGACCCTCTCCTCTTGGGGCACCTTAAGCCACGGAAATATGGCCTCGAGTTTGTCCTTCACACTGCCATCGCTCGCACAGGTCCAACCGATTGGAAGGCCTCGAGACAGCAGGGCACCACGGAACAAGGGAGGCTGTGGGCAGGAACTTGCTAACAATAAATTCATGTATATATGGACTCACATTATATCCTAAGGTTATCTCGACATGTATATGTGCATTGAAGATAAGATATGATTACGACTGGGGTTCCAAACCAGACAAGTGCTCTGCAGTAGATGGATGGCAGTAAATGCCCTTTGGAACTTTGTGCAGTCGGCACTGATCCCCAAACTTTTTCCACCAGAAAATCTGGTTTGCGCAATCCTTGGAGGCAAAGGCCAATAAATTAATAAGATTAACGTAATTTTGTTGGGCATGACCGACTGAGCACACGACCCCTGAGCCCCTCTTGCTGAGGAAATTTGGGTTTGCTTGGACAGTTGCCCCGTAGAGTCCTGGGCCAAGGTCATGGATGGAAACGGCCAATCTCAGGGCAGGGGACCTGAGGGCAAGGCTGATGGTGCCAAATGACTTCAAGCATATCTTCTTCGTGACTAACTTGTCTTTGGCTGGCAGTTTGGAACGACTGCCAGGTTTGGGTTTCCTGGGAGGTACCTGAGTGAAATGTAAAAAATCCAAATCAAATTAAATACAACTGATCAATGAGTGACAAACAAGCAAAATCAGTTCAACATGTGATTCAACAACGCAGTCAAAAAGCCAGCTCGATGACATGTGGAACCCATTCCAGCTGTGGAAAAAACCACGGCTTCACCCATCGGACGGATCCATGCAGTGTAAGCTCACCCATAGGTGGAAGTCGGACCTGCCAGCAATGGTCATCGCCCCCCAACCATAAGCGACTTCAGAAACATGTCAGCTTGACATCCGAGGCCAAGTCAGAAGGCCTACGCTGGGCAAGGCTTTAGGCGTGGCCGGGCGGTAAAAGATGTAAAAGGAATTTGGCATATAATTATTTAAGCTGCTGGCTCATCATCTTCATCATGGTTGGTATCGGAGAAGCCCGATCTTAGAGCTGAAGAGGTCATGGACATGACTTGAGTTTGTGAACTGAGTTGACTGGTTGATATGATTGAGCTGACATGATTGACACCCCTACTTAGTGTCCAACTCTGACAGGTGGTCCACAGCATTCAGCGGCATGTGACCCGAGGCAAGGCGAAATCATGGGCAAAGGGCTGGGACGTGAAGATAACAAATGCAGACACTTGCAAAGATAAGCAACTTTGCCACAGAAAAGAAACTGACAAACGAAACCTTGTGGAAACATATGAAATGAAATCACCTTGCTTGCACAAGGAAGGGCTGCTGAATCTAGCTAGGACTTCCGCTTTTCCCCCAAAGGTTTCCTTGCGAGGCAACAAATCCCAACCTTGGATTTTACCAAGATTTCAAAGACCCCAAACATTGCCTTGTATTGGTGCCTGTAGCTGCTACAGGCATCTAATGGCATCTATACGATCTATATACCTTCATCCGTTGATCAAATATCTCTGGATCGGTTGGAGAAACGAAAGGTCAAATTTCGATCCAGGCAAAAAATTGTCAAGCTGTTTGGATGCTTCATCCATGGTGTCACAAATGGTAGTGTAAGCATCTTCAGGGTCTGCACCATCTAAGTCCTGCTTGGCCAGGAAGCGGCTGACCTGAGCAGGGCATGAGAGTTTTTGACACCCAACATCAACATGACACAAAACCATTGGGATCCCAACATAGTACAAGACACCGGAAAGGAATGCCTTTTTCTGAATCGACGTGTCCTCGATTGACAGCCAGAGGTTTCACTGCAGATACTTGATCTCATTTACAGCCAAATTTGATTGCTGAGTCCGCTGCAACAAGGGCCATCATAGATTCCCCCACCGGAAAGAAGTTCATCAAGCCACCCTGAAATTAAATGGAGCATGTGGGTAAGATTTGTTAAGTACACCTACGTGTGCATATGTAAAAATGTACATCTACATCTGGGATCACTTTTACCTAATTCATTGAATATAAGTATAATCAAGTATATACATAGAAATAGATACTGG